CCATTAATACACATTACAAAATAATTTGAATTTTTTAAAGAAACAACAGCTAAACCTTGCTTTATCAAGTACTGGTTATGCTCATAACTTTTCACCACCTTGCTATTCGCACTATACATTGCTAACCCTTGGTCGGCACGGCTTATGTTAAAAAATATTCAAGAAATGAAAGTCATTGTCTACCTAGGCCGTAAGTGTCCTCACTACTCACTAATTATCCAACGCCAAACGACCCCCAGCTTGCTAGAGTCATGCATGGAGGTAGTCCCGGCGTCATAATTTTAACTCCAGTCAGAGAGGAGTCACCCGACTTAAACTAGGATCTTTTCAATGGATAGAAGTAGCATTTATTTCTTTAAGTCAGTGTAAAAATTCTTGAACGTTGTCTGAAATGTTACCTTTAAAAAAAAACAATAACACTAACATTATGATAAGTCTGATTTCATTAATACAATTGTTTTGGTTTTTTTTTATTTGAAGACTTGATAGCTTTAAAGATGTGGGCACGGTGCCCATACATTCCCGGCACCTTAAAAATGCACACTGGCCAAGAGTTGGTTCCAGCCCGTGGTTTCAGTGCAACGTGAGAAGCAGGGCTTGCCAAACCTGCGGTGTTCAGCGGGTGCAAGGGAAGAGATTGCAAATGGTGGCATTAGGGGTCTGGGGGGAAAGAAGACATATACGTCATATTTACCCTCAATATACAGTGTGAGGAAGACAAAAACCGATCCAGCACCGTTTCAAGTTCACCCAGGCCATGTAATGTATATATCGATCTTTGTATAACGATAGTTTGAGCTGTTAAACACTGGAATATGCAGCTAACTTCAGTCCATTTCTTCTCTGTCATAGAAATCCGTGTAGGTACGGCTTTATTTATTTCTAAGTCATGCACCACCACCTCACTCCCCAAACCAAAGGAGCAGTCTTATTGTTGTAGAGAGTGGGAGACTTCGTCTAGCATCTGGCGCTGGAGCACTTACAGAGAAGGTTGGGGAAATCAGATGTAAAGTAATAAGACAATGTGCAGGAAGTAAGAGTACATGCTGTATCAAGACAGAGTACAGCATCAAGACGGAGTACAGTATCAAGACAGAGTACAGTATCAAGACAGAGTACAGTATCAAGACAGAGTACAGCATCAAGACAGAGTACAGCATCAAGACAGAGTAAAGTATCAAGACGGAGTACAGTATCAAGACAGAGTACAGTATCAAGACAGAGTACAGTATCAAGACAGAGTACAGTATCAAGACAGAGTACAGTACCAAGACAGAATACAGCATCAAGACAGAGTACAGCATCAAGACAGAGTACAGTATCGTGACAATGTTTAACCGTCTTGATACGATGTGCAGACATAGACGCACTTTGCACATAGACATCTCTAACTTAAATAGAGTTCAAGACTGCATCGCGATACCAATATGGTACAACATGGCCTACATTCCATTTCAATGCATTATTCAGAATAATAAATTCTTTCAAATAGTCAAATAATCCTATATCATCCTGGACTATGATGCTCATCCTCAATTCAATTGGTAAAAAATGTATGTATCTTTAAGAGAGAAACAGGCAGAGGAAGGGAGAGGGGGAGAGAGAGAGATAGAGAGGGAGAGAGAGACAGAGTGCAACCTCTTAATCAGGGTTTCACAACCTGGGTTGCTTTGTGGCATGTCATGGGGTGCAAAGATGTGGAATATAAGTATGATAGCCTCTAAACTCTAAGTTATTATTTGAAATGGTTTTAATCCTTTTTTAAAAATATATCTTTAATTCAAAAGACATAAAAAGTGATAAGTCTCAAATTAATGTTTCAATTTCCACAGTTCCCTTTGCATTTCAATAAATAAATTAGATATACATTATTTTCAAATATTAAAATCAGTGTTATTTTTGTAAAAGGGTGTGGGACTTAATAAAACAATTTCAAAAAAAAAATAATAATTCGGAAGTGGTTGGTTGGGGGGGGGGGTGGGGGCTAGTATAAAAATACTTAGGGGTGCGGAGTCTTGTTAAACATTGGCCATCAAAATGGGGTGCAGAGTAGTGTTATTTTTGTAAAAGGGTGTGGGACTTAATAAAACAATTTCAAAAAAAAAATAATAATTCGGAAGTGGTTGGTTGGGGGGGGGGGGTGGTGGCTAGTATAAAAATACTTAGGGGTGCGGAGTCTTGTTAAACATTGGCCATCAAAATGGGGTGCAGAGTCTTGTTCAACATTGCCACCAAAAGGGGGTGCAGAGTCTTGTTCAACATTGCCACCAAAATGGGGTGCAGAGTCTTGTTCAACATTGCCACCAAAATGGGGGGCAGAGTCTTGTTCAACATTGCCACCAAAATGGGGTGCAGAGTCTTGTTCAAGATTGCCACCAAAATGGGGATCGGAGTCTTGTTAAATTTTGGCCACCAAAATGGGGATCGGAGTCTTGTTAAATTTTGGCCACCAAAATGGGGATCGGAGTCTTGTTAAACATTGCCACCAAAATGGGGATTGGAGTCTTGTTAAACATTGCCACCAAAATGGGGATTGGAGTCTTGTTAAACATTGCCACCAAAATGGGGATCGGAGTCTTGTTAAACATTGGTCACCAAAATGGGATGCGGAGTCTTGTTAAACATTGCCACCAAAATGGGATGCGGAGTCTTGTTAAACATTGCCACCAAAATGGGGATCGGAGTCTTGTTAAACATTGGCCACCAAAATGGTGTGCGGAGTCTTGTTAAACATTGACCACCAAAATGGGATGCGGAGTCTTGTTAAACATTGCCACCAAAATGGGGTGCGGAGTCTTGTTAAACATTGCCACCAAAATGGGGTGCGGAGTCTTGTTAAACATTGGCACCAAAACGGGTTTGTGTTGAAGGGAAATAAATGTAAAATTATATTAATGTCACATGACGGACACAAGTAGCCTTTCGTTCTCGTAACAAACATTTTTTTCAGATAATTTCCCCCACATTACTACAAATATTAAAATAGTTTAACTACATACATTTCAGAATCTGTGACGCTGCAAAAGAATGTATCATCAAGATCAAGATAACACTGCTTGCAAAATTTCAACCCCAAAAAATCCTAGTAGAAAGCTAATTAAAATTACCTAAGAAAATGACTAAAGCTACATTCACACACTCAATATAATCAAAAGACTAACGTTATATGCACCTACTAAATATCAATCACAAGGCTAAAATTACATGCACATACTCAATATAATCATTAGGCTAAGGTTACATGCACTCACTCAATAGAATCATCAGGGTAAAGCTACATTCACACTCATTATTGGCTAATCAAAATCGCCTCTAGCTAGCACCAGTTCCTCTCATTTCACTGTTGTACATTGACACGTGACACTTTAAGCCAAATATTTTCAATGATTTGTGTGTGTGTGTTTTTCTCCCCATATTTTAGAGTTTATTTTTACAACATAAAATGAGACAAACTCTACAGATTTAATAAAGACGCATTTATTTGGAAGTTTACTTGACAAATTCACCGCTTCTTAATTCGAAGCCACAGGCCATGTTTGAACCCAAGCACGACAGTCACGTGCCTTGCAACAGGAGGGCCATCAGGAGCCAAAGTAATGTGGTATCTGTGGATGGCAGAGCAATGTAATATTTGTAAATTAAACAGTAAATGAGTTTTATGCATGGACGTCATTTAGGTAGGGCAGGGTTTGGCATTTGACCACCCTTTCTCACCCCCCCCCCCCCCCCCCCGCCGCGCATTGTCGGGTTTTATTTAAATTGCTATGTACTGTGGCGCCTAGAGCAATAAACAACGTATCAAGCCGACCATGTTTTGGTTTTGCCTTCCACTCCTGAAAAAAAATGTACGGACTACCCCTGGTTATACGTAAGTAGCATAGCAAGCGATGTGGCATCTGTGAATGACATAGTATAGTAGGTCTCTGTGAATAGCATTACATGCAATTTGGTATCTGTGAATGGCATAGTAAAGGGGGTCTCCGTGAATAGCATTGCACGCAATGTGGTATCTGTGAATGGCATAGTAAAGTGGGTCTCCACTTGCGTGAATTTGTGAATGACTTGAAATGTGAGGAGAGAATATGCACGTTCAAATAGTCACCAAGTTTAAATTAAAAACAAGGAATTTCGGCAACAACAAAAATGTTAACACTATATTTTTCTGCCAGTCTATTTTATTTGTTTGTATATTCGTTTGTTTCAGTTTTGTTTCGTGTTTTCCACGAATATTTACATCACCTACTTGTTCAACGAATTCTATGTTTGTTTTATCCCTAAAATACACCATGTGTCTTTAATTTCAAATCTGAATTAAAATTATCTAATAAAGTTGGTTGCAGAAAGTCCTTCATTTGCAGTTGGTTGTATCAAATCCCAATATCAGATTAATTTTTAAAGACATTTCTGTCGTAATTGTTCACTCTAAAATCAAAGTAACATCTTCATCATCACTGGCACTACAGCCCATGTAGGGTCCTGGCCTGCTCCACCACTTCCTTCCATTCGGAGCGATCCATGGCTTGCCGTCTCCTTGCTCGAACCCCCAACTGGTGTAAATCTGTCTCCACATCATCAATCCACCTCATCCTTGGGCGACCGATGAGTCGTCTGCCCCTACGCTTCTGCCTGTATATAACTTTGGCTCCTCTGAATTCCGGTATCCTTTTTCAACATGACCTGCCCAGCGTATTCTGCCTTTTTTTATCATTGTGACTATGAGTGTTTCTTTGTACAAATACTTAAGTTCTTGGTTTGTACGTATTCTCCAGATATCATTATATATCACTGGTCCGTATATTTTGCGAAGGATTTTCCTCTCCCATGTGTTGAGCAGGTTCAAAGTAACACCAAAAATTATTTAATTTTACAGTGTTTAATATCTGCTGGTCAACCCATAAATTCGGACTGTATCGACTACCTATAATTTAATATAACTATAGCTTGTTTATTTTTTTTTATTTATTTTTTTTAAAGTTTTCTTTAATATATTTTTTGACTAACCTTTGAAGTATACGACCTGCAAGAACTCTCTGTTCGTTGACAGCAAAACTCTGCCCGATACAATTTCTTGGTCCAGCCGAGAACGGCACATACGAGAAGGCATCCTTGTCTCTAATGCTCTCTGGTCGAAATCGTTCAGGCAGAAACTCATCCGGTCTGTCCCACACGTCAGGATGTCTGTGCAGATTCGCGATATCGACGATGACCAGCGTTCCTTTGGGGATGGTCCTGCCCTCCACGGCAATGTTCTGGTCCAGATGACGTTGGATGTAAGGGGCAGAAGGGTAAAGTCTGTTGGATTCTTTCATGCACAGGTTGAGACAATCCAAGTTTTTGAGGTCATCCCTATAACCACCGGTACAAAATAGAAAAGACGACATGAATAGCATTGTAGTTTCGACTAAGTGGAGACGGTCTTTGGGGGCAATGTTACGTCTTCAGAATATGTAACTGAGTCGCCTTTAAAACTAATGTGTAACATTCTTTGCACGCGTCATTTTAGGTGAGTAGTCGTCTTGGGAATAACGTTGAGGAGAATCGTTGAATGCTTTGTTTTTGTTTTTTAAGGTACCTGGTGTTGTCACACTTATCTGAGTTGTGTTGTTGACACACTTATCTCGGGTGTGTATCTGAAATCTGAGGTATTTTTGACACTCTGTGCTGAGTTGTATTTAGGTCGTAAGGAGAGTTGACAAAGTTAGATTTTTTCATAAAGGGGCACCTGCAAATTCATAATTATTTTTTTAAGTTTTTAGGTAAATCAAAAGGTCTGCAACATCAAGCGCGAGCAGGACTGGAAAAAAAAATTTTAGGATTGACTTGAGTGTCTAGGCTTCTTTTAACACCACCATTACAAGGGATTAACTTCAGGTTCCCGGAAACCGCAATAAGTCGAGCCTGGTGAGAATTCCATTCAAATCAAAGATTCGGAATAAGATGTATTCAGGTTGTGGTAAGTATTGTTTAAGGCCACCCCGTGGAATGACCATATCTATATCAGGTTGTGGTAAGTATTGTTTAAGGCCACCCCGTGGAATGACCATATCTATATCAGGTTGTGGTAAGTATTGTTTAAGGCCACCCCGTGGAATGACCATATCTATATCAGGTTGTGGTAAGTATTGTTTAAACCCTAACCCCGTGGAATGACCATATCTATATCAGGTTGGGGTAAGTATTGTTTAAGGCCACCCCGTGGAATGACCATATCTATATTAGGTTGTGGTAAGTATTGTTTAAGGCCACCCAGTGGAATGACCATATCTATATCAGGTTGTGGTAAGTATTGTTTAAGGCCACCCCGTGGAATGACCATATCTTTATTCGTAATTTACGGGGTATGTTTGTGATATTTAAAAAAAAATAGATTTACCACAGAATGTCCGCTGACTCTCTGCCGTCCAGCACCGAGTCTATCTCGTCTTGCACCTGACTCTGGTAGTCTTGGCGTTGGGTCAAACAGTACAACAGCCAGCTGGTGGCTGTACTTGTCGTTTCATGACCTGGGGACGAAGACTACACGATTTGAGAAGCTTCACTTGCTATGGACTCACTGTTCCTTGACCAAGCTGGACCATATTTTTTATATTTGACCTTTCAGGACTTTTTAAAATCATTATTTGGGGATAAAACAAATCAATGGTACAATGCGCTATTGATGAGATATTAGTGGATGCTTTTGATGATATATTAGTAGGTGCTATTGATGAGATATTAGTAGGTGCTATTGATGAGATATTAGTAGATGCTATTGATGAGATATTAGTAGATGATATTGATGAGATATTAGTGGATGCTTTTGATGATATATTCGTAGGTGCTATTGATGAGATATTGTAGATGCTATTGATGAGATATTAGTGGATGCTATTGATGATATATTAGTTGATTCTATTTTTGATTTTGTTCATTTTATCCATTTCTTTTGACAGTTCAGTTTAAACTTTTGTATTATTTGTTACCATGTTCTTTTTTTTTTTTTTACATTATCTAAGTCTTGTTTTTGTTTGTATTGTTGTGTTTTATTGTTGTCTTTGCATTTATCATTTTATTTACCTTCGTTTTTATTCTTATTACTTTTAAGAAAATTTATTTTTATTTTTTGCATCATCTTTTTTAAATAAACCTGGTATCACCGGGCTAGAAAGCTAGTGCCTAAACTTTTTTTTAAACTTCACTGCATGTTGTTTTTTTGTTGTTTTTTTTGTTGTTTTTTTTTTTGTTGTTTTTTTTTATGTTCCGTCATTGTTTTAAAACTTTAGCCTGAAGTTTACCTGTACATGACAGTTATTTTTACCTGCTGCCACCATCATGAGAGCATGATTTCGAATTTCCGATTTTGGTAATGGTTGGCCGTATTCGTCTGTTGCTGTTAATAGTGTACCTAGGATATCAAGTTTTTCCTTCCTGACCGGATATTCATTGACCTGCGAAAAAAAAATTGAAACAACGAATGAAAACTTTTTTTTTTTAAAGGAAATTTAAAATATCAACCTTTCTAGACTTTGTGGGAGTGAAAACTTGAATTGTTTTGGTTTTTTTTCAAAATGGACGTAAAAAAAAGTATACTTCCTTTTTTTTTACCAAATTGTTGCCTAGGGGAGACAATTCCCCTTGATTTTTTTAGTTACACTATTTTATTTGAACTTTGGCCCTCGGCCCCAGGTCTAAGTGAGCATTGATAATTTCCTGTTGCTTTAGTTTAACCAAACAAGTAAAGGGTAGAAAATAAGGTTTTCGAGTAAAAGCTTTCATTCTTCATAAAGTCTTAGAAATTGATGTCCTCCCAAACGATGTACCGTTTAATGAGGTTTTTTTGCTGAGTAAATCTATCTCTACTGTAATGAGAGAGTTAATCTATCTCTACTGTAATGAGAGAGTAAATCTATCTCTACTGTAATGAGAGAGTTAATATATCTCTACTGTAATGAGAGAGTAAATCTATCTCTACTGTAATGAGAGAGTAAATCTATCTCTACTGTAATGAGAGAGTAAATCTATCTCTACTGTAATGAGTGAGTAAATCTATCATTACTGTAATAAAAAATATATATAAAGTATAATGAAAGAGTAAATCTATTTCTGCTATAATGAGACAGTAAATCTATCTCTACTATAATGAGAGAGTAAATATATATCTACTGTAATACTTCAATCCATGAAATTTTTAATTTTTTTTTAAACCACAATCTTGTAGGGTTTCATTGCAATAGAAAAATATCTTTAAATCTTAATCTTAGATAAAAAGTATTCAAATGTAAATTACTATTACAGTCAATGGTCCTAGAAGTCCAAATACGACAACAACAAAAATTTCAGTCAAGTAGAATCACGGAGACTAAACACCACATACAGTGGCGTAGCTAGGGATTTGGGGGGATTTGGGGGCCCAGGGGGGCTTGGCCTCTTTAGGGGACCCTGCAGTTTGACATTCGACATTATTGACCCAAATATGATGGAAAATTACCGCCCCATCTCAAATCTACCATTTATTTCTAAAATCTTAGAAAAAGTCGTTCTCCGCCAACTCCTGGATCACCTCACTCAGTTTGACTTGTTTGAACCATTCCAATCAGCATACAGGGTGCATCACTCTACTGAGACATGTGGGTGGGGTGGGGTGGGGGGGGGGGGGGGGGGGGGGGGGGGGGGGGGGGGGGGGGGGGGGGGGGGGGGGGGGGGGGGGGGGGGGGGGGGGGGGGGGGGGGGGGGGGGGGGGTAAGTGCCGCATTCCATGAAATATTGTTTGCGTCAGTTGTGTCAAGGGGGTGTGACGCAAATTCGCGAGGCGAACTGCAGATAGGAAGAGAAAATAAAAATTTAAAAAATAATAAAAAGTAAAATCGTTTTGGGCTCTGCCAGGTAAAAATAGAAATAGGAAAAAAAAAGCAAACACACCAGTGTACACTAGCAGACTTGGAGAGAGTTCTATTAGTCTTGTTTGAAACTGATTCATAAATACTCGTTGAAGCCTTTGGAAAAGAAAATAATAATAAAAAATAAAAGCATCATCACCTTGTGTCTCAACAAGCATTGGTGTCCTGTGTTGGCTTGGATTATCGGAGTCGTCAACCTTTATCGTGTCATTGGTAAATAGTCATGAAATGCGAATGGAATATTCCTGTAAAGTGATAACCAATTAATTACAGTTTCGGTCAGCCTTTTTTTTTCCATTTCGTATTCGTTTGATGATCTACTTTTTAAAAAAATATAAATTGCTACATATTTTTTAATAAAAGTTATTCCGAGTGTATATGTCGAGCGTTGCCAGAGCTTTTGTGGTTATATTTCTCAAAAGGTAGCCATTGTTTTTTGGATGTATTTATCTAAAGGTATCCATTGTTTTTTTTGATGTGTTTATCAAAAGGTAGCCATTGTTTTTGGATGTATTTCTCAAAAGGTAGCCATTGTTTTTGGATGTATTTCTCAACAGGTAGCCATTGTTTTTGGATGTATTTCTCAAAAAGGTAGTCATTGTTTTTGAAAGTATTTTAGCATTATTAAAAGGGTAGCCAATGCTTTTGTTGTGTAAACATCTAAAGGTAGCAATTGTTTTTCGGTGTTAAACCAAAAGTAGCCAGTGTTTTTGGGTCGATCTTTTAAAAGTAGCCTATGTGAAGCTCTACCTATTTGATTATTTTATTGCATTCTGTCAACTTAATCATTCAGCTATACAACGTGGTTGGTCGCATCGCCGTCTTTGCGTCGAAGTATAATCGTAGACACGTTACATACCCCGCTGAGACAACAGCCTGTTCTCAGGAAGAAAGTGCTTGTTGCGTGATATGCTTAAGATGTTAAGTAAGTGGTCTTCAAAACGTTTAACTCTCACTCGTATATCACCCGCAGTTATCGGTGTGTTCCGCCATCAGGTGTTGATATCACTATGCGAGTTTTGGGGTCGTTTTTGTTGGTGTGTGCGAGAGTTATGCTCATAATTCCCAGGTTGTAGATGAAAGAGAAGTTATACTCTACCCGGTTTTAGCTCAGAATGTTTCCGGAAAAAACGTGACGCCTGTGTAGGTTTTATGAGGCAAAGTGCTCCAACTCTATGTGAAAATATTGCTATCTTTGCTTTACTACTTTGTGTCGTACTGAAGTAAACAACTCAACCATACGTTGCACGTGAAGTATAGATGGTAAGTCATTTCATCCGGTCATATCTAAACATTGTCTACCTTATTTTCCATGTGTTGCTGTGTTGCTCCGGGTTGAAATGGCTAGAAAGACTTTGATATTGTATGCTTGTAATTAGTTTTTGTAGTGTTGTGTTTGTTTTAAATGTGGTGAATTATAGATATGTTTTTGTTGACTTTGTACCGCGCTTCGAGCCTTTGGGGATGAAGCGTGTTTTTTAAATGAACTTTATTATTATTATTAT